TCAAAACAAAGAATAGCTTGTCATGGCCAGGATTCTTGCATGTCATGGCCAGATGACGAGTACAATACTCACATGAAAAATGATGTCGACGAGTTTATCCTGCAAAGAGGGCCACATCGATGCACATATCAAATTTTAACCATCAACCAAAGATTTTTTTTTTTTTTTTTTTTTGTTTTTTTGCAAATAATATGCAAATAACTTTATATTCTTTCTAATGAATAATTAAGGAAAGACCTAACTGTTCGTTTTTCGTTTTAGCTTAATAAGTTGTGTAAGCTATAAAAAAAAATCTGTATTAGCTTATCAATGTATATTAGTTTGACAGAATATAATACAAATGACTGAAGAAGTTCTTTTTTGATAATGTATTTCGTTTTTACACATTTTTTGTACGTGATACGATGCAATTTATAATATAAATATATATATATATATATATATATGTTTGTAAACATTGTATTCTTTTAAGGGACAGAAAAAAATGATAAAACGAATTTATTTTTCTTTTCTATTTTCCTTTAACAGTGTGGTTTTATTATTGGGTTTTGCTTTTGCTGTACCCCCCACGTTATCCAACTTAACTTTGCCTTAAAGGAGGTTGGCTCCCTTTCTTTCTAGGATGAAGCTATATTCCTTTTATGGTTTGAAAGCTTTAAATGTGCTTAGCCTATTTAGGATTTCATTTGTTTTCAAGAAAGGAAATAAGCCTATGACAAACAGTATAAATCTAGGGCTTAGTATTCTCAACACATCAACGTATAATTTCCTTGAGTACTTGGCTTTATGCTCCTTCCATTGGCCTTGTGTTTGTTTGTTGCAAAGTAATGTACGTTTTAACTTATTTTAGTGATCAAAATGTCTGAAGTAGTTCAGCAACCCCAACAACTAAAGGAAGTAGATTAATGCGACCGGAAAATGTCCCATACCCACCAGCACCGAAAAGGTACCGACCTCGTAATAATGGAGCTGATCCTAAGAAAGCTCCAGAGCGTGATTTGAATAAAAGCTTCAATGAAGAAGCAAATTGAGTAAAAAAGGAATATTAGGGTACCAAGAGAAGGATGGAGTTCGAGTTAAGCGTAATTAGGAGTTGAGAGTTTAATTTGTTGTATTTTCTTTGTTTGGTTATCCTATTATTATGTTACTTTTTAAGACATAATTTTTTGTTATGGTAGTTATAAGGAGCTGACAGTTATGAATAAAAATTTACTTGTTATATTATGTAATCGATTTCATGTATAGAATAAGATTTTTACATAATGTTGGAATTCAACACATATACAGCAGATGCTAGGCTTTTTCTCAGCCTACAATCCCAGAAAACTCCCCAACTAGAATTATTGTGATCAAACTTTCCAATAAAAAGTACTGCACTAGGCAATTATTTTACAATATTTATGAACCAACACCGAAATAAATTTGAACCAGTTGTTCTAGTTTTGCCACCCACACAGAGTAAAGAGAAAGCAAGTTATTCAAATGAAAACAATACAAAACTAATTCTTGCATGATGATCAACTGAGCTTGGAGCTTAAACGTTTCTAGTAAAACTTCGGTTTTACCCTGCTTCGTAACATAGTTGATAAAGAACTCTTTGTATTGAATGTAAGGGTAGTGAAGTGAAGAAAACCAACATCCGAGTGATAGATAAATTTATGGTAGAAATGAATGACACTTGTCAAGAGATTACATAGTCTGTTATAAGGTAGTTATGCAGTTAGTTCTTAGCTTAGTGAGAAAGCTTTGTAACGAGATATAACAGTTTTTGTAAACAGTGAAATAACATACTGAAAAAAAATACAATCATCTCTCTTTCTTTCTCAGCCTGATTCTCTCTCTAATTCTTTCTTCTTTCTTCTGCTTTCTGTATCTTTTCTTCAAGATTTTTGCAGTTCTAACATGGTGTCATCACCGTAGGTGAATCCAAAGCTTCCGCATACTATTTGATACATATATTTCTTTCTCTCAACCCTCTGATTTGTTGATTCTGTGAGTTTTCTAGGTTCATCAAAATCCCAGTTCTCAAGATACTCGACTCCTAAACAGTTGCCCACCAACTGTTCGATAAAAGTTCGAAGTGAAGAAATTTCTTGCTGTTACAACAATGGGTACCGCAACTCAATTGCAAATTGTTCAATCGCCCATTACAAGTCTCATCTCTACTGTGTCATCTTCTGTTACAGTCAAATTGGATGACTCAAACTATCTTGTATGGAGTTTTCATATCAATCTTCTGCTAGATAGTCATGGAATTCTTGATGGATCCAAGTAATGTCCTCTACGATTTCTTGATGAGGCGAATCTTGAAGGAGTTGAAACAAATGCCTATCAGGTTTGGAAAATGCACGATCTTGCTCTTATGCAGCTTTTCATAGCTATATTGTCATCTACTGCGATTTCTTGTGTTTTTGGCAGTACTAATTCTCATGCAATGTGGACAAATCTCAAAGAACGGTTCTCTACAGTTACAAAGGCTACAATTTTTTCAGATGAAGACAGAGCTTCAAACCATACAAAAAGGGTTTGATTCAATATCTGTCTATTTACAAAAAATCAAATATGCCAGAGACTATCTTGTTGCAGCCGATGTTCTATTTGACGATGATGATATAATCATCCTTGCTCTTGTCTGCTGATTATAATACATTTCAATGTGTTATTAGAGGAAGAGAAACTGGGATTTCCTTGAAAGAATTTCGATCATAGCTTCTTACTGAAGAAGCTATAATTGGACAATCTTGTGAGTCTTCTGTGTCTTTTGGAACTGCAATGGTTGCATGCACTCAGTCTAAAAAAGGAAAAATTCTTACTCTTGATCACAGTTCATCTCAGTCCCAGGGATTTGACATAGGGTCTTCGAGCCAAGGTTACAGTCTCAATAGAGGATCTACTTTTAATGGATATAACTCTGGACAAGGGTCATCTTCTCAATATGACTCTGGAAATTTTAATGGCAATTATGGCAATTCATTTTCTTCTAGGGGATACAAAGGGACAAACTATAGAAGAAAAGGAAGAGGTGGGTTTCAGTATAACAATGGTCTCAGGTTTCACTCTCCATCATACAATTCTAGTCCTGGAATTCTTGGAGCTCCAAAAGTTTTTCAACACACCTGCCCTGATCATCCAACTAAGATTCCTACTTGCCAAATCTACAACAAAAAAGGTCATGTGGCTGCAGATTGTTTTCAAAGGCACAATATACCAATTGCTGGACATGAAGCAGCTATTCAATGTCAAATATGTTGGAAGTTTGGGCACTCTGCTACTTAGTGCTATGACAAAAACAACTTTGCATACCAAGGAAGACCACCCTCAGTTAATCTCACTGTGATGCAAGCAAGTCACAATCCTTCTACACCACTTAAACATTTCTAGGTTGCGAATACTGGTGCCACATCTCATATGACTTCAGAGCTTGCAAATCTTGATTTGGCTACTCAATATCAAGGCATATATACAATAACCACTGCGAGTGGTGCAGGTTTGACAATTTCTAGTATTGGTACATCTACACTGCAAGCTCCTAGTCATACTTTTACATTGAAAAATGTGTTGCATGTTCCTAATCTATCACAACACTTATTATCCATATATCAACTCTGCAAGGATAACAAATGTAGATTCATATATGATGATATTTCCTTTTGGGTCCAGAACAAAATCACAGGGAAAATCCTATTCAAGGGACTGTGTAAAGCTGGCTATTACCCCCATTCTGTTTAAATCTCCACAGAATACACTACCTGCATCATCCATATTACATGCATGCTATCTAACCAAACCAATTACTATAAGCTTATGGCATCAACGATTAGGGCATCCCTCAAATACAGTCACTTCTGCAATGTTGCAACACACCAAAGCTTCTGCATTCACAGATACTTGTCAGACGATTTGTACTCCTTGTTTGAAAGGAAAATTTATAAAATTGCCTTTTTCTTTTCCTGCAAATAAGTCTGTAACCCCATTAGAGATGATTCATAGTGATGTATGGGGACCTGCCCATGTGTTGTCTTTTGAAGGGTATAGGTACTATGCTAGTTTTATTGATGAATGTGCTCGATACACATGGATTTTTCCATTAAGAAATAAAGCAGAAGTATTTCAAATATTTGTTAAGTTTCATGCATTCTTAAGTACCCAATTTTCTGTCCATATTAAAACCTTCCAAAGCGATGGTGGTGGTGAATATACAAGTCATCAATTTCAACACTTTCTAGCATCCAAGGGCATTTTGTATCAAAAATCTTGCCTATACACTCCAGAGCAAAATGGATTGGCAGAAAGGAAACATAGGCACATTCTGGAAACTGCCATCACATTATTGCAAAGAGCTACACTTCCATCCAAGTTTTGGTTTTTTGCTTGTTCAACAACCATTTATTTGATAAACAGAATGCCTTATATTTCTTTAAAAATGCAATCCCCTTACAAGTTGTTAATTGGTAAACCTCCAACTTTTACACATCTCAAAGTATTTGGATGTGCTTGCTATCCTTTATTAAAACCTTATAACAGTTCAAAACTACAACCCAAAACAACAACTTGTACATTTTTGGGATATGTAGACAACTACAAAGGTTTTCTCTATTTAGATGGGATCACAAACAAGGTTTATATTTCTAGACATGTTCTTTTTGATGAAACACAGTTTCCATATTCAACCACACCATTTGCTGTACCTCAGTTGATCCAACCAACATCCGAGTCATCACTACCTTTATCTGTACCATCCATACCATCAGTTTCATTGCATAATCAAGTCACATTACCAATATCTCATCTGCATTCATCTTTATCTAGGGTTTCAGAGTCCATGTGTCTAATCTCATCTAGTGCCACAGATTCCTTGACTACATCTACAGCCTCAGAGTTCTTGGAAACACAATCAAGTAGTGTTTCAGAGTCTATTCAAACACCCTTACTACATCATTCAACTACACGGTTACTTTCTTCACCCACAGAATCTAGCCACCATGAATTTACACAGTTCCCTATCCATGATGATCCTGATTTCCAACAAGACCAACTAATTGTTGATCTTCCCATTCATATGAATCTGCATCCAATGCAAACGAGGTCAAAGAGTGGCATTGTCAAAAGAAAGGTTTATTCTGCATCAGTGGCTATCAATTCACCACAACTAGAACCAAAAACATTGAAAGTAACTGCAAAAATACCATAATGGCAGTCTGCAATGCAAGAGGAAATTACTGCTCTACAATCTCAACAAATATGGTCTCTTATTCCTTTCCCACCACATAAAAATCTTGTTGGCTGTAAGTGGGTGTACAGAATCAAATGGAATGCAAATGGTTCGATATCCAGATATAAAGCACGACTTGTTGCAAAGGGTTACAGCCAAGAGAAGGGCATTGATTATGGTGAAATGTTCAGTCTGGTGGTTAAACCAACAACCATTAGATTGATTCTAACATTGGCAGCACAATTTAAATGGACTCTTAGACAACTGGATGTTAAAAATGCATTCTTGCATGGTTTACTACAAGAAGAGGTGTATATGGAACATCCTTAAGGTTTTCAAAGTTCTAGTCATCACTCAAATAATGTATGCAAGCTTCAAAAATCCCTATATATCTTAAACAAGCTACTCAAGCTTGGAATTAGTGGTTCACAAGTTTTCTGCCAGGATTGGGATTTCAACTGTCTCAAGCAGATCCTTCTTTATTTGTTAAACACACATCACAGGGCACAGTTGTTATTGCTCTATGTTGATGATGTGATTCTCACAGGCAGTGATCCTCAGTTGGTTTATGATGTTATTGCAGATCTCACAAAGGAATTTTACATGAAGGATTTGGGAGTTTTGAACTACTTCTTAGGACTACAAATTCAATATACTTCTAATGGCTTATTTGTCTCTCAATCAAAATATACAAAGGAGTTAATTGAAAAAGTTGATCTTCAAGATTGCAAACCTTATGCTACTCCTTGTCTTCCCTATCACAGATTGCTAAAAGATGATGGGAGACCTTATCACAATCCTGACTAGTATCGAAGTATTGTTAGAGCACTACAATATCTAACGTTTACTCGACCTGATATAGCATTTTCAGTTAATCAAGCTTGTCAGTTTATGCACAATCCTATGGAATCACATGTTATTGCAGTAAAAAGAATAATTAGGTATCTCAAAGGCACTTCGGAGTATGGTATTCGATTTCAATCAGGACCAATCTATCTACAATAATATAATGATGCAGATTGGGCTGGAAATCCTAATGATAGAAGGTCTACATCTGGTTTCATTGTGTTTCTTGGTTCCAATCTAATTTCGTGGGCTTTGAATAAGCAACATACTATTTCTAGGTCCTTAACATAAGCTGAATATAGAGCTCTTGCCATCACTGCAGCTGAGCTTGCCTTGATAGGATAATTATTTTATGATCTTCACATTCCATTACAATTGCCTCCCATGATTCATTGTGACAATGTTTCTGCTATCGCTCTATCCACAAATCCAGTGTTTCATGCTAAGTCCAAACATATTGAAATCGATTACCATTTTGTGAGAGAACGAGTAACAAGAGGAGATCTTCAGATTCAACATGTTTCTTCATCTGATCAATCTGCTAACATATTGACTAAATGGCTGTCTACACCATTGTTTCAATTGCATTGTGGCAATCTCATGCGTAGCTCCTACAAGCGTGAGATTGAGGGGGGATGTAAGAGTAGTGAAGTGAAGAAAACCAACATCCGAGTGACAGATAAATCTAAGGAAAACTAATGAAAAGGGCTTGAAAACTTTGAGTTTTAATGATAAGGACAAAATAAAGGGTAAAGTGAATAGTACCAGGATTGACTTTTTAGTGTAAAAATGTGGTTTTTCTTTAAAGTGAACAGTACCGGGTGTTTTTCGTTAAAGTTCCCATAAATCTATGGTAGAAATGAATGACACTTGTCAAGAGATTACATAGTCTGTTATAAGGTAGTTAGGCAGTTAGTTCTTAGCTTAGTTAGAAAGCTTTGTAACGAGATATAGCAGTTTTTTGTAAACAGTGAAATAACATACTGAAAAAATACAATCATCTATTTCTCTCTTTCTTAGCCTGATTCTTTCTCTAATTCTTTCTTCTTTCTTCTGCTTTTTGTATCTTTTCTTCAAGATTTCTGCAGTTCTAACATTGAAAGGGTTTATAGAGTTATGGATTGCTTGCACTAATAAGAGCTCAGTAGGTTCTACAATACAATCGTCTGAAGGCGCTATGAAAAATGCAGCAGATGTCCTGGAATTGCTTGAACTCGCAACTGCCCGATGTTCAGCACTTTTCAGCTTCCCATTACTGATAATCTAAATCTCATGTCAATAAAAAAGAAAAGGGTTTTCGTATGGTAATTAAGAAGGGTGACTACATACGTGGGGAAATATACTTAGGCCCTCATATCGACATGATATTGACAGCTATCTATTAAAGTACCATTACTATAAACTATATCAACAAACATGATATCGACAGCATTGAAAACTACATATAATCTTGCCCGTAAAGAAGGGTACATACTGAATCTACTGATGTACTTGTAGCTGATGAATCTGAAATAGGCTCCATACTGATCCATTCCCCGTCCTTGAAAACTTGAAGTCCATTTACATGATCTTCTTGAAGTAAAATGGTTATGAAGTTTGGATCACAATGTTTAGGTACACCTAATGTTAAACTTGGGTCCAAGCAAGGGGGGTAATGATTAACTGAGAGAGTCACATTATGGCAAAGTTCATCCCTAAAATATGCAGTTCCGAGCCCAAGTCCTTCACTTATTAGCTCCAAAACTTCCACAACTACTTTTCTAACTTGTGCAGAACATGTCCCAACAAGATCTCTGGAATCCATATCATCGATAATTAGTCTTTGTAGATATGAAAATATATATGTCAAATATATGCAACAAAAAAAAAAGAATTGAGTTTTTAGAACGTGAATCTATATATATTTGGTACCTATATCTACTAGGCTGTTGGGGCCACTGCTGCATACATTCCTCCAGAGGATGGCAAGGGTGTCGTAGGTAATCACGCCACAAATGAACATCTTCCAAATCGAAATATCCACTGCTGGCTGAGAGCCTACAACCTTTTTTTCGGGTTGTAAGAGTAAAGGTTTGCCTTGTCTTCTGCAGGCAAGTCAAAGAACTCATTGAACACACCCATCGTGTCGTTCAACAAACCTTCTGATATGCCATGGTTGACAACCTGATTTCTAAATAACATTAATTGGATGTCGCATAACATAGTAATTGAAATTTTGAAGCAGTGGTTACTCGATGATCAAGGAAGAGTATTTGAAGTCTCAAAAAGTTACTTGAAAAAAAACCCAAATTCCTGGCTAGCATTGAGTATTTTCTGGATTATATTGGTTTGATCACTGCCCAGATCAATCACTGGAATGTTGTCTCACAAATGAGCGGTAGTAAGATTCCCGGGTCTTGCATCTGCTGGGAATATGTAACTCTCAGGCAAGGTTTTACTGTTGTACCAGCTTGAAATAAGCTTCCCCGTTTCCTCAATGTGTATCTAGCCTTACAATGATTAAAGAGGAAAATTAGTGCACATATAAAACTGAGAAATTGCTTTCAAACTTACCTATGATTTGTAGTCAACCATCCATATATTCCAAATTTTTTATATCAATTTGGAATAAACATATTTCTTTGTGTATCAATTGGCTTAATAAAGGCTCACATAATGCAGACAATCTTGTAAATAAATAGAAGACAAACAATACCTTGATTGTGATCCAAGGCCAGCAGCAAGGCGATGCTCGACATTGTTGAGAAAGAATTTCGTATTGACGGGGGAGAGAACCTTCCATAGGTAAGAGGTTGGAGTACTTCTCATATTGCTAATTGGTTTTATAGTGGAACCCCAACTTTCTTCATGGTATAAGAGCAGGTTGTCTCACATGTGAAGCTTAACGGCTATACATGCTCCACGTAATCCCGTTTGTGTTGTCCACATATTTGGCTTGAAATTCACCACACGTAAGGGGGCGTGTTGAGAAAAAATCTCACATCCATGGAAGCAAAGACTTTGCAAGAGCTTATAAGGGGTGGGTTACTCCTCATATTATCAATTGGTTTATAGTGGAACCTCAACTTTTTTCAGACATTAAGGTCAAGTCACTTCACGAAAAAGAAAAAAAAATGAAGGAAAGAATTTAAAGTCTCGATAGTCGATAAGTTACCCGAAAAAATGAAAAAACAAAAAAAAAAAAAAACCGACTTCTTGACTAGCTTTGAGAATCTGCTCAGTTATACAGGTATGACCACCGCCCTCGGCTCCACCTAGATCAATCACCGGAATGTTGTTACTGCAATCTATATTTGCACAAACAGTTTCCTATCACAACAAACTTTTAAATGAGTATTGAGAATCTTGTTATTTGCCTATGGCGGACGCGGGGAGGTTAAATGGTTGTGATGGACTCCATCGGATTTCAGTGTGGGATGCAAACGAGAGGTCGGCAAAGCGTTACATGTTGTATGATGCGATGGTTATTTACCGAGGCACACTGCATTAGTGTTCCAAGTCTAACTTGACATTTCCACGACTGATTAGAAGATTTCAATATTAGGATATTAGGAGATACGGTTCTAAACGCTTATACGTGTGTTTGTTTTGCCCTGTGATAGTGTTTGGGTAGCACATTTTTTGATGACGTTTTTGTTACTATAATGCTTATGTTTGACTCTCAAATGAAACATTTTAACTTGTTCTTTGTATCATCATATAGTGCTTGAATAAAACATCTTATTACATTCTATTAGTCTCAAGTCTCATACTGCATAAAGAATAAAATAAGATATTTGCAAGAGAATTCGTCTATTTTCTTATTCAAGTAGAGTGTGCTGCAAGCAATACAAAGACAACTAGGGGTTTTCCCCTCTTCTTATGTTTACAAGTTACCTGATGAGCGTTGTAGATACAAAGATATTTATCTCCGATGACAAAGCAGATTCCCTCACTTTCCGCTCAAACGTTTGACCAAAATGTTAATGAAAACTTTTGGGTTGACTTGCTGATTGTATATTAGGACGTGAATCTCGTATATCTTAATTTTGAAGTCTTGGTTCACTTGCTGATTGTATATTAGGACTTGAATTTCGTATATCTCAAGTTTGAAGTCATGGATGTATAAAAGCGAAACTTGCAATACATGTTGCAGTTTAACGCCGCAATCTGGTTTGAGTTTTGATTTGTACCCCATTCTTCACGGCCAGCCAGTTTCTGCTTTTGCCGCACTAATTGCTTCGTCATGTATTGACAATGTTGGAACTCACCAAACCTGGTGGAAAACTGATTCTTTAATTGGGAATGTCTGCATTTTGGTGTCAATTTTTTCCCGTGCTACAAATTTACACTACATTCTTTTCGTTGGTTGGAACTTCTGAAAAGACTTCGCTTGTTGGGAAAACGACCCGTGTTAGAACAACTCGTTTTTCAAACACGAGCCATTTTATTGTTCTCAACATGGCACGAGATGGGAGCAAAGGGAGAGAGTCCAACTCTGTCCTTAGATGTAAAGTATCATTATTGTTAATGCACAAAACCGGAGGTCTTGGAACAACGTAAATCCGACCGTGAATCTGCAAGAAATGTAAATAACACAAGATGTATCGTGATTCACCCCAAGGTTTGGGCTACGTCCACACTGATTATGTATTTATCTGAGAAGTGAGGGAGAGAGATTCAGAGCCTCTGAGGGAGAGAGTGAGGTCACTGATAGCCTAGGAGATGGCCTCCTCTAATTGTGAGGGTGATGAGTCATTTTATAGAATAAGGGCTTCTCACTTATTACATATTTGCCCCTTCCTTTATTACATAATTACATTTAAGTCCCCCGAGTATTTTTACGAGATCTAAATACGAAGCCCTAAATATGGTATAAACAGTAGTCCCCCAAGTCTTCAATCAAGAGAGTCTTTTGGCTGGAGACTTGAAATTCAGTCCATGTGTGGGCCGAAGTTACTAGATGTTGTCTTGAATTGATGCTCGATATGAGGCAGTGCTCAATCTAAAATGATGCTCAACTAGAAGTAGCACACGTTGCGAGGCTGCTCGGTTCGTGGCTTATGTTGCCTTGGTTGGCTTGGCTTGTGGCGTTTGAAGGTGAGGGAGTCCCTTTTATAGAATAAGGGCTCGCTCCTCAATACATAAATGATGGGCTAGAGTTGATGCTCGCGGCGAGGCGGTTGCTCAGTAGGCGGCGATGCTCTCTAATGATGGTGATGGAGTCCCTTTTATAGAATAAGGGCTCATTCCTCAATACATAAGTGACGGGTTAGGAGTGATGCTCGCGGCGAGGCGGTTGCTCAGCTGGCTGCGATGCTCTCTATTGATGGTCAGGGAGTCCCTTTTATAAAATAAGGGATCGCTCTTCAGTACATGAATAATGGGTGCTCTCTAATGAAAGTGAGAGAGTCCCTTTTATAAAATAAGGGCTCGCTCCTTAATACATAAATAATGGGCTAAGTCCCCCAAGTATTTTTCATGAGGCCCAGTTGAGGCCCAATATATGGTACATAATGTAGTCCCCCAAGTTTTCGGTCAATAGAGTCTGTTGGCTGGAGACTTCAAATTGAATCCGTGTATGGGCTGAAGTGGCGGTTGTTCGGAAGCGGTATTTGTATACCCTGCACTTAAGCTTTGTAGGTGAAGCTTTGCAAGTGTAGCTTTGAAGCTAGAGCTCTGTAAATGAAGCTTTCGAAGCTAGAGCTTTTTTAAATGAAGCTTTTGAAGCTAGAGCTCTGTAAATGAAGCTTTCGAAGCTAGAGCTTTTTTAAATGAAGCTTTTGAAGCTAGAGCTCTGTAAATGAAGCTTTCGAAGCTGAAGTTTTTGTAAATTAAGCTTTTGAAGCTAGAGCTCTGTAAATAAAGCTTTTGAAGTTGATTGACATGAGTAATGCTCATGAATGTTTATGTTGATTAACATGAGTGTTGCTCATAGATGTTGTCATGAGTGATGCTCATGAATGTTAACATGAGTGATGCTCATGAATGTTGACATGAATGATGGTCATGAATGTTTATATATGAATGCCATGAGTAATGCTCATGAATGTTTATGTATGATTGACATAAGTAGTGTTCATGTATAATTTTGAAGTACTGGACGTACTTTTAATCACCTGATTAGTGGTAATAGCGGCGGGTTGCCATATAATTTTGGAGTACTGGGCGTACTTTTGATCACCTGGTTGGTGGTAATAGGGGCGGGCTGCTGAATAACTTTAGATTACTGGGCTTACTTTTGATCGCCTAGTTGGTGTTATTTTGGGTTTATGGGCCTTCGCCTTCCACATAACATTCCAGCCCATTTACTTTGGGCCATGCCTTTTTTTTTTTTTGGTATTTTACCCTCTGATGGGGTTTATACAGATAATGGTTTCGACAGTTGCATCATTAAAAAATAATGGTTTCGACAGTTGCAGATCGTTGGTGCGTACTGCGCCTACTGCGTACTGGGTTGCTTCTGTTGGTAGCGTTTGTTGGCTTAGATGGTTTTTTAGATACTGGGAGTAACAGCTGCTATCAGATCTGAATTCGAATGAGCTGGCTTGTTGGCCCATCATCATCATGGTTGTGGACTGCACCACCCCACTATGCATCCCTTTAATATTATCTACTTTTGCTTTTGTTTCCTTTTTCACCGCACCTCTCTCACTCAGTCTCTTTTTCTTTTTCTTTAACATCATGGTGTCGTCTGTGAAGAGTGTGAACATGCACTCCCTCATGCTGAGAGTCTTTATTTTTTTAGAAGGTGATGTCTTTCTAAATGTCTCCAGCTATTACGTTCGAGAGCATCTTCGGAGATTGTCATCAACTTTGGGGCTG